AGGGTAATGGGGCCAGCTCGCACAGTTGGTTGGTGGTTGGTTGGGACCAGCACCTAGCTGGCTTCCTGATACCTTAATCGTGGCTGGCTCCATGGCCTGTAAAGTCAGGGGCAGAGAGGAATCTGCCCCTTCTGGGTCCTTCTCTGATCTTGCTTGTCCCAGGGTTGTTGGCTGGGTACATGGTGGATTCCTATAGCCTGGTCTGAAAGCTGACCTTTCCCAAGCCCAGGGACTCCCAGGGAGCTGGAGGGTGTAGGAAGGTAGGGTCGTTCCAAGTCACTGGTGCCCCATCATCTTTAAAACATGGAGGCAGCGCAGGAGTGAGCAGACGTGGGTGCTGACAGCCACGTGGTGTGAGCCAGGTGCTGTCCTGCCCTGGGGCGCGGCTACCCGCCCCCCCGCTCACTTCCCGGGCTGGCTGTGAATCGAATGAGGTGTCAAGAAGAGGTGACAATTGTGAGCCCTTGCTGGGTGCCATTCTGAGACCCACCTAACTGCTGTTCCCCACAACAGTGTAAGGTGGGCACCGTTATCCTCCTTTGACCACTGAGGAAACGGATCTCAAGCCAGGCAGCCGGTGAGCACGAGCTGGGGTTTGACCCCATGCAGTCTGGCTTCTGAGCAGTGTCCCCTCCCCAGACCGTGCCAGTAGACTGAGTAAAAACTGTTTGTAAGTGGTTTCAAATGATCACAACTAGGAGCTGTCCCTCCACTACTAATATTGCTAAACATTAAGATGAGGCCACGTTTATATTTGTAATAACATTGCTGATTTTTAGACCCAAGACCCAGTGCTGTGTGGCGTTTACCTGCGTCCCTGTGGCCCCGGGTCCCTGAGGGGGGTGGGCTGGGCTTTGCAGGGTGCTGCCCCAGCAGCCTCCGGTGGAAGGTGGGGAGCACCCGTCCCTGCTGACAGAGCTCGGACCTTTCTGAGATGGTGTGGGTGGAAAATGCTTCTCTCCACCCTCATCCCTCTTCCTCCGCAAACTCACTCTGGCTTTTCCTGAGGAGCAATGGTATTTCTGTGACCAAATAGAAATAGGGAGGGCTGGGGCACCTGGGTGGCTCAGTGGGTTAAGCCTCTGCCTTCAGCTCAGGTCATGATCTCTGGATCCTGGGATCGAGCCCCACATTAGGCTCTTTGCTCGGCGGGGAGCCTGCTTCCCTCTCTCTCTCTGCCTGCCTCTCTGCCTACTTGTGATCTCTCTCTGTCAAATAAATAAATAAAATCTTTAAAAAAAAAAAAAGATAGAAATAGGGAGGGCTTGCATATTTTTAAGTGAATTAAGGCAAACAATGCAAGGCTTCCCAGTAGCAGGATCCTTCCTGGTGCCAGGACTGGGCACTTTGGATGTGTCCACCCACTGAGTCCCCATGGGAGCCCTCCCTCGGAGGGGGACCTGTCATCACGTAGACCCTTTTCACCCCCAGGAGGACTGTCAGCCGCATTGTTAAGGTGAAATGGCTTCCCACCCCTCTCAGCGCACTGAAGTCCCGATAGTTGGCTGCTGTGGTGGAGGGAAGGGGCTTGGAGACAGGCCAGGGGTTGAGCGCTCCCATTTCATCCGTTTGCTCGCTCACCTGGCACACATTTCCTGAGCGCCTCTGCTCAAACATCCCCTCCTCAGGGGTGCTTTTCCAGACCATAAAATGGCGGCCCTCCAGCTTGCGACGCCACCCCCGTCCATGTTATTTCTTTGTATCCTGTACCCAGTGGGCCATGGTACGTTTCTTTCTTTAGTATCTGGCCCTTCCACGAGAAATATAAACTCCACGAGAGGACATACTTTGCTTATTTTGTTTGCTGCTGCATCCCAGGCACCTAGAACAGAGCCCGTCACAGAGAAGGAGCTCAGTAAATGGGTGTCAGGGGAGAGAATGAATGAATGAAATGGGAACTCTCCAACTCGGGCCCGTCTGATTGCAAAGCTGCCGTCCTCACCACCTCCATCTTCTTCCTGTCCCCCCCCCCCCATGCTGAGTCTGATCCAGTGGCTTTGGGCAAGTCACTTCATCTGTGGGGCCTCAATTTCCTCATATAGAAAATGAGAATATTGCTAGGGCCCCTCGAGCTTTAATATTCTATGTGTCAGACTCGGTTGTCACTGAGCGTGTTTCTGGGCACAGAACGTTCCAGTCAGGATTGTCGCCCAGCCCAGGGGCTCTGCTTGCAAATTTGCACCAGTACTTTTTGTCCTGTGAGCCTGATGGCCCAGGAGGCCCCTGGGCCCCCCTCCTGTGATGCAGGATGCTCACTCACATCTTGGGAAGAAGGAAGAGGCTTCGGCTGAGCTGATTCCTATGGTTTCTGTGATGCTGCTGTGGCGAGCCCTCCCTGGCTTTACCAGAATGTGCTGATTTTGTCCTTGAGTCCTCCTAGCTTAAATGAGACTCGCCCCCCCCCCCCCCGCAGCCCTTTCTTTGTTGGTGACCAGAGCTGCCACTCTTTGCTATTTATGGGAAAGCTTGTCCTCCAGTTGGCCAGCAGCAGGATAAATTCTGTGGACTTGCGGGAATCCCCTTCGGTTTTCTCCAGTTGTGGGATGATGGGCAGTAAATCATACTTAATGCACTGCAGATCCGTCCCGATCAAATTCCACTGCAGGCCCAGTACCCGCATTTAGGCTCTGAGCTGGGACCCTAGTGATTGCCATCTCCAGAGGGACCCCAACCCTTCTCCCCAGTTCTAGTTTTTATTTTTTTTAAAGATTTTATTTATTTATTTATTTGATGGTGGGTGAAAAGAGAGAGAGAGAGAACAAGCAGGGGGAACAGCAGACAGAGGGAGAGGGAGAAGCAGGCTCCCCGCTGAGTAGGAAGCCTGATGCGGGACTCGATCCCAGGACTCCAGGATCAAGACCTGAGTCAAAGGCAGATGCTTAACCGACTGAGCCACCCAGGCATCCCCCCAGTTCTAGTTTTTAATTAAAACTCTTGTTTAAACTGTAGGGGAGTTAGGATAGCCAGCCAGCCAGACATTGCATGGGCCTTAAGTTTTCTCTATTTGAATGCCCTGGTGAGAGGGACCTGCTGACTAGGGAAGGGGGAGGGGCTCATCCTGGCAACACGGGCAAGAACATAGGCCTCCCCATTGCATGCCTTCTGAGGCACCATTCCCTTAAGAGGCATGGGCCACATGGCATCCTGGGCAGGCTGAGGGCTGAAGGGTCCACGGAACACACACTCCCTTCGGGACACAATGGAACGTCCGCCTGACCAGATGTGAGGAGGAGTCCCAGCAGAGAGCTGCATTTCTTATAGCGAATTCTGAGGTCTTTTAGGCAGACCGGTTCTGTCTCAGTCCCTTCAAGCCCAAGACCTTGACTGTTCCTGGGATCGACAGAAGAGGGGCGGTGGCAGTGTAGTCACTAAAGACTCATGGTCTCCCTTGGATGTGGAAAGCAGGGAGGTGTCACCTGCTGCTGTGGTTCCCGGCCTGGCCCAGGGAGGGCTGGCGAACCGCACAGACCGGTGTAGACGGCCTCCATCCATCGGGTCTCCCAGCGTCACTACACAGGTAACAGGATCTGGTTGGTCAGGTCCCCTTGAAGCCTGGGTGTTACTCAGTCGGCCAGGCAGTCTGGGTGAAGCTTCTGCTTCGTGGAGCCGCTGCCCGCGCTGTTCTGACGGCACAGATGAGAACAGACGGGACCGCGGATTCCAGAGGCAACTACTTCCCTTCGTCAAGGAATTACTGGGTAATTTACATCCCTCGAAAGATGCAGGGCAATGGCAGGCCGGGTGTATGCATGTTTAATTTTAAATCCTCCAACCTCCCCTTGACGAGGAGGTACATTGAAACACAGCATGTTGATATCCTTCAAAGGACTCATTTCCTTGGTGCTTTATTTCTTTAAGGAAAAGCATGAAAGACAGATGAGGAATGGCAGGAGCCGGGGAGGGTTTTGCCTCCCCCGCCCGCATCGTGCAGACATTATCTGCTGTAAAGCTGTCACCGAAGGATGGAGAACTGGCTCTTGGCTGCAGTGGCCCTCAGATAGTGTCAGCGCTGAGCGATGACCCAGCATTTGTTGGCACTCAGCAGACGCCTCTAGGGCGGCCGTGCCAGAATCCTTAGCAGAACCTGGTTAGTGCTCCTGCCTGGGGACTGCAGGGGATGCAGGGGCCTATGTGCAGGGTCGCTGCGGTTGGAGCTCTAACTTTTTTTTTTTTTCTTTTGCAAGCATTAATGTCCCTTTGAATCACCAGAGAGTTCTGTAAAAATACAGAGACTGACTCAGTCAGTCTGGGGGTGATCCTGAGAGTCCGCATTTCTAACAAGCTCCCCGTGATGCTCCTGGCCCATGAACCGTATTTGGAATAGAAAGACCCTAGAGATGGCAGACACCAGCCTCCCTGGGTCCCACTGGGTGGTTTAGCTATGTAGAGCTCCAGAGGGGTAGGGCTTGGCCACCAACCTATGCCACCTGGGGCGGGGGGAGGGCTGTGGGGGCCTCTTGAACACTCTAGGATATGCAGTTATGGGAAGGGGGGATACTGTCATGGAGGGCCCTTTATTTGGGGTTGGTGTCTGGTTTGGCTTCTCCTGCCCCCAGTAGGTTTACCTTTCTTTCCTTTTTCTTTTTTTAAGATTTTATTTATTTGGCAGACAGAGCACAAGCTGGGGGATTGAGAGAGGGAGAGGGAGAAGCAGGCTCCCTGCTGAGAAAGAACCCAGACACGGGGCTCAATCCCAGAACCCCAGAATCATGGCCCGAGCTGAAGGCAGACTCTTAACTGATGAGCCACCCGGGTGCCCCTAGGTGTACCTTTCAGTGCTGCTCACATAAGGCCTGTGGGAAAACTGAGTCTGCAGACTCTGAGCTCCTCAGTGGGCACCCTGTGATGGGGAGGAAGACAAGCTCAGTGTTCCAGGCCACTCACTGCCCGGCCTCTGAGTGTGTGCCCCGGAGTGATGGGGGACTGGGGCCCATGTGGGCTCCCCGCCTCTCTTGCTGCGGTCAGCTAATCCTCTTCTGCTCACCCGGTCGCTCTCCCAGGTCCCCGGATGAGAAGGAGCTGACGGCAGCCGAGAGTCACCTTCTCTGAGTGCGGCGGAGCGGGGCTGTGTGGCCTAGGCGGCACCCATGCCGAAGAACAGCAAGGTGACGCAGCGTGAGCACAGCAACGAGCATGTCACGGAGTCGGTGGCCGACCTGCTGGCCCTCGAGGAGCCGGTGGACTACAAGCAAAGCATCCTGAACGTGGCGGGTGAGGCCGGTGGCAAGCAGAAGGCGGCAGATGAGGAGCTGGAGGCTGAGGACCGGCCGGCCTGGAACAGCAAGCTGCAGTACATCCTGGCCCAGATTGGGTTCTCTGTGGGCCTGGGCAACATCTGGAGGTTTCCCTACCTGTGTCAGAAAAATGGAGGCGGTAAGAGGTGGCCCTGCTTGCCCTGATGGCATTCCGCAGCCGGGCCAGGCCAAGGCGTGGAAAGGAGCAGCCCTGGGCTAGTGCAGAGCTGGGGCTCTTGGAGGGTGGGGCTCGGGATTCTCGAGGAAGGCTCCCCAGAAAGAGCCAATGGTTAACAGTGAACAAGAGGCTGCCGGGAGCGGTGATAGCGAGGACACGCGCTCCGGCCCGGGACGGCCCGGGCAGACCCCAACGCAGCTGACCAGACCAGAGACCCCATGCAAGTTGCTTGATCTCTCTGTGCCTTCTGTTCTTCATCTGTAAAAAGGGAGTAAGAGTCGATCTTGCCTCACAGCAGAGTGGGGAGGATTCAGTGGGCTTTACATGTAGAATGCTTAACTCGTATCTGAGGTATAGTGAAGAGCAGCGGTTGGCCATTCTAACGAAATGCTTGCCGGGTGCCAGGCCCTGTTCAGCACTTATTGGATATTAGGCTGAAATGCATGAAATTGCTGGTATTTGAGCGTCTTGGAACAACCAAAATGCCAATTTCATATAATTCAACCACTGATTCCCCCTACACTCTATGTGAGGGGAAGAGTCATCATCCTCATGGTAGGGACTGCAAAACTGAGGCACAGAGAGGTTAGATGACTTGCTCAAGGTCACACAGCTAGTGAGAGTCAGCAGAGAGCCCTTGTGGCTCTTAGTCCCCGTGGCCTGGGACTGCCCCATGCCAGCCTGATGGTTGGCCACAGCTTTGTAGGCATTTCACCTGACCCCTTCTGTCTCTGTTCCATGGGGCTCTGGCCATGGAGCCTTTCCCAGAGATGCAGCCCCATTCAGGGACACTCCCTCCTCTCCAGAACACACCCTCTCTGGCTCAGAGGCCAAGTCTGGCTGGAAGCTTCCCCTCCTTTCCAATCTCTGTTGAAGGGCAGAATGTGAGAATGGCCCTTCGAGCCTATATAACTGAGGCCAGAGGCTTTTCTCTTTCCACGAGAGCATTTACCATTCGCTCTCCAAGCTGTGAAAGGTCTTTCCCCGCCCCAATCAGTCAATCAATCAATCAATCAATCAGTAACTGCCAGTTAGAGCTTTTGGTCTGGGTGATGTGGCCAGGCTCAGGTCACTGAGTGGCTACAAGATCAGCCCAGAGCAAGGATACAAATCTAGGTGTGTGGCTCTCTTGTGTGTGGAGAGATGATGACAAGCGTCCACGACGTGGGAGGACACGTCACCTCTGCGACTCCAGCCGGGAACTTCTAACCTTGTCCTTTGCCTGGTCCCTGGGCACTGATTCAGAGTCCCTCTCCCCACCACACACACTCCCGGGGCAGTGGGCTTGCCAAAGCTTTCTTGCTCACGGTGTCACCAGCCCATCGCCCTGGACCCAGACCCCGCAGACAGCCCCCAGAAGAGTCGTTAGCGCTCTGGATTCTGAGCTCTCCCTTCCCCGTTCCTGCTCATGTTCTTCCATCCTGTCTCATTCCTAGAATCCCTTCGTATCTCTGCCTTTAACGCTCCCATAGCCTACGAGCATTACAGTAAGTCATCCCAAACGCTTTCTGGAAGGAGTCAAATGATCCCATTTCAGATAAAGGAAGGAGAAAACTGTTGGGTGGGAGAGAGGCAGCTCTGTGGTTTTGAGCCGTGCGGGAGCCGGGCAAACATGGCTTAAATCTGGGTGGGCCTTCTGGAACTCTGCTTAGCTCCACTCGATGCTGAAGTTTCCTTTGATCTGGTTCTCTTAATTGGCTTTTTTCTTTCTGCTGATTTTTATGACAAAGAGGCAACCGTTCTGTTCTTCAAGTGCTGACTAAGACGAAGTAACTTGTGTAATCCTCACAACAGCCCCCCATACCCTGCCCCGGCCCGTTCAAAAGGGAGCATGGAAGCCTGTGAATGTGTGCTTTTCTGAGCCAAAGATAGTCACATATCAGCAGTTTCATGTGGTTCTGCCGAATGTTATCATCTTCTTTTAGAAGACCAAAAGTGGCACAGAGAGATCAAGGAATTGGCCCAAAGTCACACAGCTAGTAAGCGGCAGAGCCAGGATTCTGGCTCAGGAGGTCTAACCCCGGGGGCTGTCTCAGCCCCTACTTGGTATGCATCTCAGCAGGCTGAGACCCAGGTGGTCTTCCAAATCCCAGAAATAACATCAGTGTTTGCCCGAAGCAAGACCCAGAGTATAGACCAAGACGGAGACTGCAGAGATCCAGGAGGTCTCGGAGTTGCCACAGCCCGGCTTCCCAGAGCCTGACACCCTGAGCAGTGCTCCCAGCTGTTGAGAGGGAGGACCCAGAGTTCCCCTAAGTCACTGAAATAGCCAAGGGAATCCCGTTGCGTCTCCAAATTGTATTTTCAAAGGCAGAAAGGGTGCATTTCCAAATGATTTCAACAAGGGTTGATAAGAAAAAGGACCTCTGCCTACCCAGAAAGCCTCACCCAGACCCCAGCCCCTGAGCGCTGTGGATGGCTGGGCCGTGGCGTGCGGAGGAGAGCTGCCACCAAGTCTGTGCCCTGGGCCCGACCAACTCGGGCCACTGGCCCCAGTGGCAGGTGGCGGCATGCCCGTGGCCGATCTTGGCTGAGAGCCGCTCTGTGGACAGCACATATGTGGAGACTCTCCCTGGTTCTTTGGGAGAGAGGAGAGAAGCCTTCACAGAAGGCATCAGCCTACCCTTCGGACGCCCCGAAGCCCACCTCCCTGCACATTTTGCCCTCCTGCCCCTGAGGGGATATGGCTGAAATACAAAACCAGTGAGCCGCGTCCCTTCACTTTTCTGCATGTCACGAGTCTCCTCTTGCATTTCCCCGAACCCCAGAGCAGGAGACAGAGCTAGGAGTCCTTCAGGCCCCCTCTCCTTTGGGCGCCAGAATGGCCCTCCTTGTTAGTGACAAGAGGAACTTATGTGTATGTGTGACCGCGTGTAGTTGTATGTTAAATGAATTAGATGCTGTCGTGTGAGGCTGGGTGGGTTACCGCCTCGGAAGCCTTTGCTGATTAGTTGCGTTGGACTCTGACCCCTCCCTTGGCAGGCCTGGAACTCAGCTGGCCCTCTGGGACTGGTCCATGTGTGCGTGCGTGCGCGCGTGTGTGTGTGTGCATGCGCATGAGCTCACATTGCTCACAGGAACCTGCTGCTCCTGCCTCCCAGATTGTGAGCTGTGCTGGGATAGGGCTGTGCTTTCTTTTCCCCCCAGATCCCCCTGCTGCTCATGCCCGGCCCAGCATAGACCTGTAGTAAACAGCTGGCTGTTGCCAAGTGCCAGGCCTAGTGCCTGGGAAATGCCTGGTCCCCCAGGGTCGTGGGCAGATTGGCTACATGTGGCATGTCCTGTTTTGGGGGGCAGAGCCACGGGTGGCTGGGGGTCTTCTGGATACTCCTAGCCGGCAAAGCTTGGTCTGGGGGTGTCGGGTGACCACCGGGGCCCTGGTGACTGGGGCCGTCTGATGGCTTTGCTAACAAGACTAGGTTGCTGGCACAGCTCTCCTCAGAGATCACTCATCTGTGTCCAGACACGATTTTAATTCTCCTGCTAAACGCCCTGTCACTTGGAATTGAGATTGCGTCTGCATGGAGCCCAGGGACCGTGAACTTAATTTATCATCTGGAATCTTTATCAAGATCCATTCTGTCTCTCCATTACGATCCTCCCGGCTATGCATTTCCAAACTGTTAATTTCTCTGTCTCGTTCCTCCCAATTGGCTGTAGATTCATGGTGATGCCGGTCAGACCCTGTCTTCCTGGAGAGCTTCCAGGCTCCGCCTCCCCGGAGCTGCCCAGTCTGCTGTGGCATCAGCATCTGCTTCAGAGGCGGGCAAGACTGTGCCTGGGGTCTAGGCCTCTGGGGGGCGAGGGAGCAGGGCCCACTCCATCTGGGGCTGCTCCTTTGGGGCGGGGAGTGAGTGTGAACAGGTGTCCTCCCAGTACATCAGGAGGCGACCAGGGACTTGACATGTGAAATTCTGAAGAGACGGTATAGTGTCTGTCTGTCTGTCTCTGAATCTAACCTTGTGAGCAGTCCTCCCCCAGAATTTCAGAATTTCAGATCAGGGGAGTCAAGGGGAAGAAGGGCGGGCAGGGGAGGCAGTATGTGGTGGTGGGCCACACGTGGGAACCAGACCCCTCCTGGAGGAGTACAAGGCCTGGAGCAGTTTGAGGACTGTCAGAGGTGCAGGCAAGACTGCAGGACGTGGCCGTCCGCCCTCAGCCTGGTGCCCTGCTCCGGACGCCCTCCGACACGCCCCTGTCCTCCCCAGGTGCATACCTTGTGCCCTACCTTGTGCTGCTGGTCATCATCGGGATCCCGCTCTTCTTCTTGGAGCTGGCTGTGGGCCAGAGGATCCGCCGTGGCAGCATCGGTGTGTGGCACTACGTGTGTCCCCGCCTTGGGGGCATCGGCTTCTCCAGCTGCATAGTGAGTCGGGGGTCGGCACTGGGCGTGAGCTGGCAGGCCGGGGGAGCCGCTCCTGGGGGACGGGGTTTGCAGACCAGAGTCTGGGGCCAGATCAAGGGTAGGGAGGGAGACCCTGCTCTTGAGAACTGCTTCTAGCTGGCGTCCCAGGGCCATGCATTTCCTACACTAAAAGCAGGCTGTGCTGCCTGGGGCAGGATACAATATTTGGAAATGTTACCAAGGAGGAAAGGCTGGGACATCTCCGCTGGAGTTCTCTGTGGACACGTGGACCGTCCGGGATACCTCTGTCTGCTTACCAGCCCCTCAGCCCCGAGTGAGGGAGGCCCTTCCTCTTTCCTTGATTGAAGAGTATTTGCACTGGGCAAGCGTGGGGCCCAGGGAAAGGCCACCCTGAGGCATGAGGTCTCATTGCCTGTTTGCTAGGCACAGACACAGAGTGGGAGAAGGTCTCAGACAAGAGCCCTGTGGCCGAACCAGGAGGGGTGAGGCTTAGGAGCAGTGGGAGACAGGGATCAGCATAACAGAGCTGGGCCCCTGCAGGTGGAAGGGGTCTCTCAGCAGCCAGATCGTGTAAAAGCATGGCTTTTGGAGAAACCGCTCAGACCTTCAGTCCGAATTGACGCTTTCCTCTTCCAAGTAGAATTCTTCCAAGACTAGCGATCGTGTTTCCAAGACACGAGAAGTGACATCTTTCTGGGGGCAGGCTGCCGCCAGGACCAAAGAGACAGCGGTGTCCTGAGGGGAGGGAGGACACAAACACCAGTAGGAAGCATCCGCAGGGCCTCCAGAGCCGTTCAGTCTGGGGCCTGTTGTCTGGGGACACAAAGGCTGTGCGGGCCTCCACAGTCCCAGAGGGTAGCTCTGCAACTGTCACCCCGAGTCATCAGGAAATGATGGGGAAATGCTTTAAGCATCTTAGAAGAATTTCAAACTGGAAAGGATTAACATTTTAAGAGTTCATTGCTTAGAGGAGAGATCTTTAATATCTGAAGCATTCCTCTGTGGATTCCCTGAATACCAGATGAATGGAGGATTAGGAGGGGGCCCTCAGAGCCCCTTCCTCCTCCTCCTCTTCCTCCTGCAAGGGAGGCCCATGAACTGGGGATGGGGGTGGGGACTGCGGCCTTCATGACCCCTCCCCCCACCATGGACCCTTGTCCTCAGGTCTGCCTCTTTGTTGGGCTGTATTATAACGTGATCATCGGGTGGAGTATCTTTTACTTCTTCAAGTCTTTCCAGTACCCGCTGCCGTGGAGCGAATGTCCCGTCATCAGGAATGGGACTGTGGCAGGCAAGTATGGGACCCCCCCGAGTAGGGCCACCCTGGGGACCCCAGCCAGCCCGTCCCAGGAAGGGCTTGAAGGAGCCCAAGAGGCTTAGGCACAGGTTTGGGATTTCATTAACTCGTCACCTTGTATTAGACACCTACCCTCTCTGGTCCATTCTGATGGCCCTTGCCAAGTTCTTAGGTGGATTGAATGAAATGACTGTAGGGAAAACTCTGGAAAGTGTGGCTTTTGTTTAGTTGTTTTCAGTAGTCCTGTGTTACTCAAATACCATCCTATCTGGAAACAGCCTTACTTTGCATGCCAGTCTTATAAAAGGCTGGATGATTTATCCTACCTCACCAATGGGTAAACTGAGGTCCAGAAGTGACTTTCCTATGTTCACACCAGGATCTGAGATGAGACACCAGAGGTCTGGCTCCTAGCTCAGGACCTTTCCCGAGGAACTTGGGGCCAGCTCTGCCTAATCCTTACTGTCCTCCACGGATGGAAGCAGGAAGAGGTGGCATGTGTGGGAATTCAGCCAGATCCATGTGTCCCGAAGCCTCCTGGGCCCCATCTGGAGCCCCATCTGGAGTCCTCAGGGTCTGCCAGATCCTGGCTCACCCACAAGGAGCACAGCACCCCCCTCCGCTAGCCGCACTCAGCCAGCCGCTCACCCGCTGCCGCCCTGGGTGGGGATCAGGCAGAGGAGGTGACCCCACAGTCCCGCCTGAGGGGGCCTTTGTTACTGTTCCAGTGGTGGAGGCAGAGTGTGAGAAGAGCTCAGCCACTACCTACTTCTGGTACCGAGAGGCCTTGGACATCTCCAACTCCATCTCGGAGAGCGGTGGCCTCAACTGGAAGATGACCCTGTGTCTCCTGGTGGCCTGGAGCATTGTGGGTATGGCCGTCGTCAAGGGCATCCAGTCCTCGGGGAAGGTGAGTCAGGAAAGGAGTCCGACCCGTACAGGCGGCTGCAGAAGAGCATGGCAGGCAGGGGGCTGAGGACCCTGGGTTCCACCATGCCACGCAGGGTCTGCTGAGTGGGCTTGGCCTCTTGGGGGCTCAAGATGATGACACAGGTCCCCCGCCATGGGCGCGATGGGTGTGTCACGGCTGTGTCCCTGTTCCCTGTGAACAGCCCACCAGGAGTGGCTGGGAGAGGGCTTGTGGAAAATCAGGGCTTGACCCCAGCCACCTCTGGGATCATATACGTCAGACCCGCTCCACAGACTTTAAAGAGGAAGAAAGCTAGGAGTACAGACCCAGGGATGTTCATCGAGATCCTAGTCCCTTAGGTTCCCAAGCAAAAGGCCTAGAAGAGCATTCCCTGAGCAGTTTTTGGTGAAAATGGGCAGCTCACCATGTGTGAACTAAAGGGCGCCTGGAGCAGGCAGGTGCTGTGAGTGAAGAGGCCTGGGGTATCCAAGGGCGGCTTTCCCCTGCTCTCTCAGGGTGCAGCCCAGCCAACCCCACACACCCCCTTCAAGTGAGGGCCCTTTCTTCTTTGTCACATATCAGTATTCCTGGACTGCCAGAGCCGTGGCTCTATCCGTCCATTCTACAGATGAGGAAACTGAGGCCCAGAGCCGGGAAAGCCCCTCCCCTGAGGTCACACAGTCAGTCAGTCCCAGAGCTGGAACGTCTGAGGCTCCAGGTTCCATAACGTGCTTCTCGAGTAGGGAAGCTAAGCCTTGGGAAGGTAACTTGGTCTCAGCCAACCCCTCCTCCCTCTCCACAGGCCAAAATAGTAGCTGACACTTGGGGGCATTTATCAGGTACTGCCACGCATATGAACACTTTTGGTCCACAGCAACCTTATGAATTCAGAAGCCTTACACCCATTTCATAGATGCACAAACAGAGGCACACAGAGGTTACGTGAATAGCTCAGGATCACATGGTAGGTAAATGGCAGAGCCAGGATCAGAACTCAGGTGCTCTAGCTCTGGACGCATACATGCTTACACCTTCAACACCATCCCACCCAAACAGCCCTCTTGAATTGTTTCGGCACAGCAGACGTGCTGTGAGCATCTCCTTCCTGGGCAGCTCTCTGCCGGCAGGGATGGAGAAATGCATGAGAAATGCAAGTGCTGGAAAACAGCGGGTGATGTATAATCACAAGAGGCAGGACCTTCTCTGATGTTTTGGCTTGGGAGACATGCCTGTAACCTCCCGGATGCCTTCCATCAAAGGAACTCTAAGGACAGGGGAGAGCCTTAGGGGGTCCCCTGGAGTCAGGGATGGAAGAGCGGGCATGAGACATGAAAAAGTGAGGAGGGGAGAGGAGAGGCTTCCTCGCCCCCTTGGCGGCCCTTGGGGGTGGGGAGGCTGCAGACCCGGCCCTGCCAGCTCTTGAAAGGGGGAGGCTAGCCCCAGGCACAGCCATTCTGACTCCAGCTTGTCTGTGCTCCTGCTTCTGCCTTGGCTCAGTGCCAGGTGTGTGGTGGTTTTGGCCCTGTGCCCAGGGGTCCCAGGGCTTCTCTTTCTGCTGCCATCAGAGGAGGCTCGGGTGCTCTGACTGTGAGCGGGGAGGGGGATGCCCCAGCTGTGAGCGGGGAGAGGGGTGCTGGCCGCAGGGGGCCCTCTGCCCCACGGTGGGTCCCTGTCCTCTCTGTAGGTGATGTACTTCAGCTCCCTCTTCCCCTACGTGGTGCTCGCCTGCTTCCTGGTCCGGGGGCTGCTGCTGCGAGGGGCCGTCGATGGCATTCTGCATATGTTCACCCCCAAGGTAAGAGTCTGGGGGCACTGACAGCTCTGGTGGGCCCGGCCAGCATCCTGCAATTTCGAACTCGCTGAGGGCCTGTCATGGGTCAAGCAGTCATCACAGACCCCTGGAGGCATGCACTGGGGAAGGGGCACGCACCTGCCCCCTAGGTTCCAATGAGAGGGACAGCGCGTCAGTTTGGGTGGAACCGGAGGGAGGCTTCAGGGAGGGCATGACCTGGAAGCGGATCCTATTTCAACAAACGGCCATTGGACATTGCAGTCAAAGGAAGGGCAGGAGCAAGTGTGGAAAAGCACTGGGTATGCTTGAGGCCCTGGTGGGAAGGCAGGTTTGGCTGGGGCATGGGCGGTTTCATCACTGGATCTGTGACAGCAGGAACCAAGGAGATGCCTAAGAAAATTATCTCCCTGCCGGGAATCCCAGCTTGTTCCCAAATCAGGGGAACAGTGTTACTGTTTTATTCAGGATACTAGACCATGCGGGGTGTGATTTTACCCTTACCAAATCCATTCCTTTCGTCTCTCACTTCATCCTCCCATAGCCCAGTGAGGGACCGCTGGGCACATTTCACAGGGCTGTCACAGAGCCATAGGCATCCTGAAGATCTACATGCAGGTTTCTTGATGGTGGTCTTTGCCACCATGTGGCCTTGCCTCTGTATTCCCCCTGGCCACGGCTGGCACGGGCCGGTCCCCTGAGGAGTCAGGGGATTGCAAACGCAGACTGGGAGGCCTTCAAGGTGCCCCAAGCCATGTACCTTAGGAACCCCAGCGGGAAAGGCTGGGGATGTCCACCTCCAAATGCCAACGTATCAGTGAGCAGCCAGCTCCTCAGTGAGACTCTAGGTTGCGGGCATGGGTCAGAATACCACCATCTTGAGGCCCCCAACCTTGGTCCTCAACAGTGCCGTGTCACATACGTGCTCACCCACACTGGTGCTCACACGGGAAGTTCATAGAGATGACAGGGACTAGAACCCAGATCCAATGGGGAATCCCTGTTCCCTCCCAGCTGCTGTGCCGCTGGGAACACCCCCGGATATTGGGGGATGGCAGTGGGTAAGACACACAGCACTCATATTCGTCAGATAGGAAATAACGCTGGCTCCCAGCAATCTTGGATGTAATATTTGAGGCTGAAGTGGGCCTCCTGAGCCATGCGGCTGACATGAGGTCATCGTGAACCTGTGATACCCGACAAAGAAGCAAAATGCAAACCTGGCACGTTTTGGGGGAGAGATGGCCATGAGAAGAAAGCCAGTGGTTTTTATGACTTACTTCTACTGTATTTCTAGAATGAGGATCAGTCTAACCTTTTCACTTGAGTCTTTCAGTTATACTTATCGGTGCTTTGGGAGGAAATGGTATACTCTGGAGATGTTCATAAATAGGGAGAGTCACACATGTCTCCAGATGGGTGGGCCTCTTGGTAGCATCCATCTTGAGAGAGCCCAGGATGGGATGGATTCATGAGACTGGTTTCTGGTCCCAGCACACACAGTACAGCTCCCCATTTGACTCAGACACTCTTTCAAACATCCGTTTAATCATACAATGTCTCAGGCATGTAAACACACACATATATAATAATATAATAAACATTGGAGAGGCCATAAAATATTACAGAGACCATAAAAGTGTCCTCATAGCCTGCCCTGATCCCATGTCTTTCCTGCCCCAAAGATAAGCACTATCCTGAACATGGGGTGTATCCTCCTAATACATCTCTCTCTCTCTCTCTCTTTCTCTTTAAGATTTTTTTTTAAAGATTTTATTTATTTATTTGAGAGAGAGGCAGTGAGAGAGAGCATGAGCGAGGAGAAGGTCAGAGGGAGAAGCAGACTCCCCGTGGAGCTGGGAGCCCGATGTGGGACTTGATCCCAGGACTCCGGGATCATGACCTGAGCCGAAAGCAGTCGTCCAACCAACTGAGCCACCCAGGCATCCCTCTCTTTAAGATTTTATTTATTTATTTGAAAGAGAGAGCATGAGAGAGAGAGAGCATGAGAGGGGAGAGGGGCAGAGGGAGAAGCAGGCTCCCCGCTGAGCGAGGAGCCCAATGCAGGCCTCAATCCCGGGACTCCAGAACCATGACCTGAGCCAAAGGCAGTTGCTTAACCAACTGAGCCACCCAGGCACCTCCTCCTAATACATTTCTTAAAATACACGTATTTTATCTCGTAATGCATGTATGCGTATGTGTAAACAACATACCGCATTTGTGAGTACTTCCAAACTTTACGTAAGTGGCATCATGTTATAATGCATCTTCCTGTGGCTTGCTTTGGCTTTTATTTTTGCTCAGCACTGGTACTTGAGATTTATTTAGAGTGCTGTTTGTAGCTCTAGTTCCTCCATCTTCCCTGCTGTGTCATAGTCCACTGTAGCACTAAACTGTGCTCATGTATGAGCACGTGAGGCTCATTTATGTTGTTTCCAGCTTTCCCCATGGCTAGTAATGCTACAGTAGACGTTATTACACAGGTCTCCACTTGCACAATTTTCCCATGGGTGTCTGTATTTAGGGGTGGAATTGCCATCTCAAAGGGTACATGTACCTTCAGTTATGCTAGAAGGTGGCCACACTGCTCTTCAAAATGGCAGCCAAGGTCAACACTCCCACCAGCTGTATGGGAGAGTCCCTGTGGCTCCAGGGACTTCTGTTTTTGCCACTCAGATGGTTGCAAGATGGTGGGTGTGCCCTTGGAACAATAGAAGGCCCTCCTTTCAAAAACCTTTTCCTGGATGTTAAGGAAATGGTGTGATACCACTTCAGCATCTGCAGGGGGCAGAGTCCTCCTGAAGTGAAGTTTAAAGAAACCAAACCCAGAAGGCCCTAGAAGAGCCAGGTCATCAAGACCCAGCAGGTGGCCCTGACCCATCTAGCTCTTGGGACTTTTAGTCTGGATAGAGCCTGTGGGCTCATCTGAGCAGTTATATGGGGCAGCCCTTAACCTTGGATGGATGTGTCTCACAGGGATGGGGAGGCCTAACTTCTCCGTCAAGGATCTCTTTCATAGCCTGTGCTGCAGGTAAAGCTAGTAATGATGGCTGGGTGAGGCCATTATTTACAAATTCCTCCAAGTCATCCACAAGAAAGGTGGATCCACTCTCAGAAATAGTCTTCTGACTGTCCATACCGGGCAGTCTACTCTTGTAGAGCTGGGATTATTCCAGCACAGGATTGGTGAGATATGAGGAACCCTGGAACCATTTCAAGTTCCTGACCTAGAACAGTGTTATTGAATACTAGGGTCATTACACACAGCTGCTCAGGCTGTGCACTGCTCCATTTATATTGACCACAATGGGAATGAAATCCCCAGGGGTCATGCCATTTGGCAGCCATGGCAGAGTCCAAGAGGACTTTTGGCCAGGGCATCTCTGAATCCACTTGAAAAAAGCATAGGCTCTCCGTGGATGTGCTGCATGTCCTCTTACAAATTCTTCCAACATCAGGAATAATGCAGTGTGGCCAGGATACCATGATGACCCACTAGCATCTTTGATGGGACAGTAACTCATGTTGATGACTAAGTTCTTGGATTCCTTGGGCAACCTCTGTCCTGATTACTTTCTTTCCACCAAAGAAAAACCCAAGTGGGGCACCTGGGTGGCTCAGTGGGTTAAGCCTCTGCTTTCAGCTCAGGTCATGATCCCAAGGTCCTGGGATCGAGTCCCGCATCGGGCTCTCTGCTCAGCAGGGAGCCTGCTTCCCCCCTCTCTCTGCCTGCCTCTCTGCCTACTTGTGATCTCTCTCTCTCTGTGTGTCAAATAAATAAATAAAATCTTAAAAAAAAAAAAAAAAGAAAAGAAAACCCAAGTTAGCATGGAGGGCCACAGAATTCACCATGTGACTTGCTCAACACAAAGTCGCAGACTATGGTAGACTTCTCACCACTAAAACTTGCAGAAAGTGTTTATCAAAATTACAGCTGTTCATGTCCTTTGGCCCAGCAATTCCACTCCCAGGTACTTGTCCTACTGATATATTCACTCACAAGCAAACTGATCTGTGCACAACATTGGTCATTACAGCCTATGTTTTAGTGGCAAAAGATGGAAAACAACCTGAATTGCCATCATTCATTTATCCCTTCATTCCGCAAAGGTTCACTGGATGCCTGTTATGTTTTAGGCTCTGTTGTGGGTCCAGCCATGGACCAAGCAGACAAACTTCCCAAGCCTCCTGGATCTTGTATTTTAGGGAGACAGACAATACAAGAGTAAGGAGTTGTTGGGTGGTGTTGCTAAGGAGAAAAATAAAGCAGAGAAAGAAGGATTAGGGACACCAAGGAGAGGGATTGCTTCAGCTAGGGTTCAAGGAGGGCCTCCCTGAGAAAGTGGCATAAAAAGTAAAGACGTGGGAGATGCGGGAGCAGGCTGTGTGGATATCTGGAAGTAGTACATTCCATTCTGGAGGGAGCAGTAAGCAAAAGGCCTTGAGATTGGATGTGTCTGGCATCCAATTAAAGGAGGGGATTGGATCTGGAATGGGAGGGGAGAGAGGTAAGGACATGTGGTCAAGGAGGTCATGGGAGGCAGATCACGAGGGTCTTGTGGGCCAGGGATGACTTTGGTGTTTACTCTTGGTGAAATGGAAGCCATTAGAGATTCTAAACAGAGGAGCAATATGGTCTGACTTCTGTCTTTGAAGGATCCCTCTGGCTGCTATAGAGAACCTGAGGGGACAAGGGTGGAATGGGAAGACCTGCCAGACAGCTCCATCCAGGTAAATCCATCCAGGTGACAGGTGACTTCGATTTGAGCCCAGATGATGGCAATGGAAGTGATGAGAAGTGGTCGGATTGAGGATACATTTAGGAAGTAGGGTCAACAAGATTTGTTGTTGGATTGGACTTGTGGGGCAAGAGAAAGAGAATGGTCAAGGATGACTCCAACATCTTTGACTGAGCATCTAGAGGCATGGAGTTGATATTTATGGAGATGAGGGCAAATGATGAGAGGAGCAGGTTCAAACTACTGTTTTGGACATGGCAGGTC